CTGCCTCCTTGACTGGGGCTGGACTTGAAGATCCATAGGGTCCCTTCCAGCTCTGCAATACTAAGATGACAATGATAATATTTGTTGATCTTTAAGATGCCACAAGACTCTTTGTCATAATTTCTAGAAGACATCTTTCATAGGCGTAAAATAGGAACAGATAAGCATAGAGCAACAGGCATGGCTCTGATAAACTACTGAGAAGGCTATAAATCGTATTTAAATACTGTTTTCTTTTTTTCAATGCTTCCATCTCCTCCTTCATAATGAACACCTCAGGTACAGAACAATTAAGCATGCTAGGCAGCATGAAATGTAGGTGTTTCTAATGACAATAATAAATGTATAGTCAAGTATACGACCCTCAGTATTGTGGCCCAATTTAGCTCAGGTTACAGCTTTTTCTTCTGCAAACTGCCCTCCATTAATCATAGGTAAGCCCAATTACTTTTCTTTTGCTTCATTCTAAGAAGACAAATTATGCACAGAGGGAGCATAAGTATTAGTCAACCCTAGCCACCCCTTAATTCATATTTGCTAACGTTTTGACTGGAATTTCTTTTCCCAGTGGTATCTGTCTCAGATGAAGTAAATCTGGTGTAATAGAGAAAGTGGTAATAATGTAGTCAAGTGTCAGAGATTTGTAAATGCAAAACTCATGCTCATGGGCCAAACTAGATTAGGGGGAATGTGTTTCTCTTCCAATGAACCCATTTTTCCTTTTGCAATGTGCTTTCTAAGAGGCACATCCCTAAGCAATGAGACTTGCAAATTAGGTCTGTCCTTCCAATGAATAATCACAAAATATATCTTGTATTGAATTTAAAATATGCAGAAGAGAAAAATCGTGTTCTGTAATAAACAGGGGTCTTTCATTTTTTAGAAAAACGTCATAACAACAACAAAAACTTGATAAGGATGTTCTTTGCTTTGACCCTATGACTGCATAAGTACATAAACAATGATTTTGGTCCATCCACAACACTGAAGTATGATTTAGTGCTGCATCTACAGGTCTCAGGCCTCACATCATCCAGCCTCCTCCTATGAGCTATGTGCAGTGGCAGCAAAGCACTGTATATAGCTCACGGTACCCCAGGAACACTCTATAAAGCCAGCTGAACCTTTTTGTTCTTTACGTAGACTAGAGTGAACACACATTCTTTTATTCATTTATTTTTCTCAGAGAGCAGACCCCGATTTGAAGGACTGTCACAGGGCAATCCATCTTTTGAAGGTGTCAGCCATTTTAAGGGCTGTTCGCTCTAGATCTGGTTAAAAGGTAAAGAATCCTAAGGAAGGGGATGAAGAATTTTGAACTTGCCCACCCCCCCCAGTTAACAACACCTGGCCAGCAGATTCAGGAGATACAAAGGCCATCTGCCACTGTCTTCCCCTTCAAGTAAAAGGCATTACCATACTATTGAAGTTGTAACGATCGTATCTATTTTTGCATGTGCAGATATGAATTACCATGTATTATTTTTGGCCAATCGCTGTCCTTATCTCTCTGATGATGCATGCCCTCCCTTCTTGTAATATGTAACTGGCCAAACTATGGTAATTACAGTACAGAATAGTGAGACCCTTCAGGCAACTAGAAACATGTCAGAGCTGTAGATTCTGTTCCCTGGACAAAAAAAAGTATGATCCCCCGACTCTGGAAGACCTGTCCTGTGTTACCCTCTTCCACATATTGGTGGCCTGCAGAATGCTCCCCTTCAGTCTAGCAAACGAGTCTGGCTAATCCAACACTATAAAGTTCCTCCTGTGTCATAATCCCTCTTCCATGCTTCTGGAGAGAGATGGATGTTTTAAATTATTTATTTACTTATTTAAATTATTTATACCCCACCTTTCTCCTAAGAAAGAACCGAGGTGGCTTACATCATTAAAACACAATATGAAATATAAAAACAGTGAATTATTCAAATATTGTATGAATTAATAATGTTTTATTATACATGGCAGGGAAGCAAAAGTGAGATTCTTTCATTTATCCTTATTTGAAAATGCAGGTTTTGTTTAGCAAAATTGTTTCATTAAAGGAAGAACTGAACTTGTAACTGAGTAAAGGTGTTAAATGTTTTAGTGCGTACCAAAGAGCAATGATCAAATACAGGAAATTAGTCTATACACTGCTAATTACAAGAGGTAGAGTTCTGCCAGGGTTACAATGAATAATTATACTAATTATTCCTGTATTTTAATTGAAAAGAGAACAAAGAGCAGAACTTCTTATTTAACAGAGGGAGGGATCCAGATTCAATTTCAAGTTTTGTTATCACAGATATCTTAAGAAACAGACCATACTAAAATAAATACAATTTAAAAATATATTTCAAAATAGATTAATTCACTATTGCTGAATCATATTGTTAGCCAGATAAACATGTTTAGCAACAAATAATTAATTTGCCAGGTTAACTGGCAGCAGGGAATGCTTTTTTAATATTTTCCCCTCATAAAATCCATCAATGTGTGTTACGTGTGATTAAGTCAGTTCTGGCTTGTGGTGGCCGTAGTAAGCTGTCCCAGATATGTACAATAACTCTGGAGTGGTTTTGTCAGTGTATAAGGATTTAAACTCAGGTCCCCTAAATCCCAGTCCAACACATTATTCACCACACTATATTGGCTTTCAACACCAATCTACATAGAATTAGTACAGCTCTAGCACAAAATATTGTCTTTCCTTCACAAAATTCCCAAAAAGAGCATTGAACCTCCACAAAAGTTAGTAGAACTAATTTAAAAGCACCCAATGTTGCCTTTATGTGGAAGAATGATCCATTTCATCTTGTCTCTAATAGGGATGTGCATTACAGATTGTTTTTTTTGTGTGTGTGACTGAATTCTGCTTTTTGGGAGCCCCACCTCCAGGACCTAAAATTTACAGACATCTAAATTGTGCTCATCTGCAGAGAAAGCCTAGTTGGCAGGCTTCATGCCTAGGATAAGCCTAATGGGATGTCTTAAAAAATTTCAAACAGGAAGTTAGGCTTATCCAAGACATGAACCTTGGCAACTGGAACTTCTCTCCAGATGAACAGATACAGCTTTACATCTCTGTGAGGCTTCGCTCTGTGTCCTGTTTAGTCTAACTTGTTGTATTAAGTTGATCTAGAAGAGAATTACCACTGATAGAACCCGATTACAACGTAATATGGCGGAGAACTTGTCTTTGGACCATTTTATGTGTCAGCTTACTACATCTAGTAGTGTGGCTCATTAATTCTCTGAGCCCAAGGCAAAGCATAGGAATGGAAGTTCACATTCTCCAGGTTTTTGTTTCTTGGTATTTATATCACCATGTTTATTAAATATGTCGTAGATTAGTGGTAATTGCTCCTTTCGAATGACCTCTAGCTTCGTGCATCTTGCAAAGCTTGAACTGTTGAAGCTGTTTGTTAATCAGAGATTTGGGAATAGACAGAAATGGTCATGTAGTCCAGAGTCAAGAACATCCACACATTTTCTTCCCTTGAACAACAGGTAAATGGCCATGTGCTACAAACGGTACATTTGCAACGCAAAAACTGCTTCCAGAGTACAGTGGTAAATTATAACTAGAGTTGGCCCATTGAATCACCAAATCCCTACTGATTCGATGAGCCTACTCTACTTTCTTCATACTACTGGAGTATATGCTGCTGTTTGTTTGTAAGCTTCTAAATCAGGCTTTCCAACCTCATCTTCTCAATCCTCAATAACTAGCCACAATTTCCAGAGTGGCTTCAGAGTAACAGAACATCCTGGAGTGTGGTCAGATTTGGAAAAATTAAATAACACACGGATTCTGTCAGCTTGTATCCTTGAGGGAAGAGGCAATATATACTTCCTTATGAATGGAACAAATGATATAATGTGATATATAACATTTATTTTAAAATACAAATTATAATAATAATGAATTCCCAAGGAATATCATAATGAATCAATTTTGCAAAGTGTTGGGTTCAGGCAATGAGCAGGCTGATGGGCTTTGTGGTGATCACCAGATAATAGAATAGTGAAGAGTCTCTTAGCAATAGATTAAGGAAGTCAGCCACACATACAAATGGATGTCTGCCAGCAGTACTCTTGGTGGGTGACTCATCAAGGAAGCAGAATGACGAGTCTTCTTCTGGCACCTGCCCCCAGGAGACTGTCCTTTTATTAACATTACAAGGTCACAGGTAGTGACAGCATTACAGATAGTAGACAGGGTTCAGATAGGACAATGGTTACATCATGTTATTAGGGTTGGTCTGGAGAAAGGCAAATAATCAAGCCCTCTGATTGGCCTAAGGGAAGGCCTCTATGCCAAGCTCTCTATGATAATGAGAAAGAGGAGGAACGGTGGCAGGTCCTCCCCTCAGAAGCAGCCACAGGATGCTAGGAGAGTTTTCCCTACACTACAACACCCATGTGGCTTAGCAACCTTGGGAATGGCACTCCCACAGCAAAGTAAAATTCTAAGCTCTGATCTTTGAGTGTGTGGTGCAAATGGAGAATATTTATTTAGGATAATGGCAAATGTGGTGGAAATTTTGACGCTATACTACTTTTATCTCTGAAGGATGCAATGTATTCAGTCACAGTTACTTTAGTATAGAATGGTGCAAATCTATCTTTACAAGCATTGTGGGTAATAGGGGCTGTAATGTGACATGGGAGATCCTCACTTGGAAACTTATGAAGTGGTCATGAGATCCCACAAATTCAGATCTGTCACCATTTGCCCTCAGGATTTCAACAGATATTTCTGAAGCAACTTTTTTAAAATATCAAAACAGAAAGAGAAGAAGCACTCCTTATCCTCAGTCTGTTCTCCTTTGTTGAAAGATCCTTTATCTTTCCTCCTGCTGTGACAATGAAGTAAGATTTTATGTTCAATAGTCCATTAACCACAATGAGCCATAAAGTATTTTGCTGGAAATACAGAATGATGGGTTATTGATCAAATTAAAGTAAAAGAAAGCTATCGTGCTGTTTTATTCTTTCCTTTGCATTTGTAGAATGAAGGTGTCCCACAGGAAGGAATGATGGAGAACACAGACATGCCCGCAGACCCTGAAAATGAAGCCTACGAAATGCCTCCTGAGGTAAATCGTTCTTTATCCTCACAGCGAATAGTGTATGAGTGATGGAAATCTGGACATTTATGTTGGAGATGCATTGAGAAATTCTGATACAACCTGGTCCACAGAGCTTTAATCATCATCATCATCATCATCATCATCATCATCATCATCATCATCATCATCATCATCATCATCATCATCATCATCATCATAATTAATTAATTAATTAATTAATTTAATTTAATTTAATTTAATTTAATTTAATTTAATTTAATTTAGGGAATCAAATTCCCAACATCTAACTGCACAGCCAGATACCTAAACCACTGAACTATCCAGCAGTTCTTGTACTCACTTTTTTAAAAAAACTGTTTACGTATTGAGCAAAGGTCAGATTTTTCCACTTGTGAGGCAGAGCAGTACTCTGTGCAAAAATACCTTGATTTGACATATGCAGTTTGGTTGTGGATCTGCAGGGAAAACTTTCATGAGAATTGAACCATTAGTAATAGTGGTTGGAGAGAAACACATGCCAGGAGCAGGCCCCATGGAGGGTGAGAGTGAACACCCTCAGATACATCTTAACCACAAACAAACGAACAGTACAGTGGTGCCTCGCTTAATGATTACCCCGCAATACGACAGAATAGGTGCCTCGCTTAATGATTACCCCGCATTACGACAGAATCGCTGTACGATGATATTTTTGTGATCGCAATTGCGATTGCAAAACGATGGTCTAAATAGGTTTTTTTCACTTTGCGATGATCGGTTCCCTGCTTCGGGAACCAATTCTTCGCAAAATGATGTTTTTTAACAGCTGGTCACCGGTTTCAAAATGGCCACCGGGTGCTTAAAATGGTTCCCCGCTGTGTTTAGGGATGGATTCCTCGCTATACAGGCAGCGAAAATGGAGGATCTTTTCTGGACGGTGAGTTTTTACCCCATTGGAACGCATTGAAAGGGTTTCAATGTGTTTCAATGGGGTTTTAAATTTTGTTTTACGATGTTTTCGCTTAACGGCGATTTTCCTGGAACGGATTAAGCGAGGCACCACTGTAGGTGGATTCAACAGTGGAAGGACCTTCCTTTCATTCTGGTTCGGCAGATGTGTGCAAGAGCACTCTTACTATTAGCCCATGGTGTCACATAGCACAGTGCAATGGGAAATATGGTTGCCCTGGTTTTAGAGATGGCTGTGGACATTGGAAATCAGAGCCACAGACAGACATGTTCATGAATAGACAGTTTGCCCCAATACAAATACCCAGGGTATTTGGACTGAGTGACTCAAAGTAAGATGCCTGTAAGGAAGGGGTGGGGATCATGGAGCCCATAGGCCTCCTATATCCCCTAAGACTGTTTTTGTGCCCTCAGGTCAGTACCCCATCATGTCCCTCTCCAAGTTTTCTTCAGCAAAATAAGAAGTAGTTAAAACTCATGGAATGGTGAGATTATTCACCTTTTCCTGAGAGAAGTTGAAAAGATTAATCATTTTGACTTCTGGTTCGCTTTGCTTTTTATTGTCCACCCACAGAAGAAGGGGCTCACTGAAATTATCAATGTGCTTCAGAGCCGAATTGGTCCCTAAATAATAATATTAATCATGAGCCATCAAGTCAATTTGACTTGTGACAATTCTATTTCAGGGTTTTCCAGGTGAAGACAACTCAGCAGCAGTTTACCACTCCCTTCCTCTGGGGCTGCCTCAGACTTTGCAGCTTGCCCAAAGCCACGCAGAATGGCTCTTCTCGCAGGTGGCACAGTAAGGAATCAAACTCCCAACCTCTGGCTCCACAGCCAGATACCCACACCTCTGAAATATCCAGCCAGCTAGATTCTGGTCCTTAGACCCTATGATTTTATCCACTCCTATTGTAAGTGTATCAGAAAGCAAAGGAATTTATAAGCATCCTTTGTAAATATAACAAGGTTGGAAATCTTCCAGCTGCGAGAAAAACTGGATCTGGAGCAGAAGGGAGGAATTGCCATCCTCCTGATATCTTTGTGGTCCATCTCCCATCACCTCCAACCATTAGTTATTCCCAGTGAATTTAAGGGAAATGGAGTTCAACAATGTATGGAGGGTACCTGCTTCATGGTATTATGTCTCTGTGTTTAATACAAGGATCTAAAATCGGTCAGATTCTATCTTGATCAGCATCAAGGGGGAAAAAACTATCAGAGTGACTCGCATATTATGCAGTGTGAAAATGCTTGTACAGCCTGCTTCCCCGGTTGTGCCATTTCTGAAAAGCTGCTTAAAAGTGTAGATTTTTGTTCTTTCTGCAAAAACACTTCTCTCCTCCCCTCCTCCCACCCCATCCTCTTCTTTATTCAGCAAAAATCCTTTGAAGATAAAGGTACTGAAAGTTAAATACAGAATTACAGACCGTAATGGACTGTGAATGTCAACGAGTTATAGTATTTTCTAAAAACTAGGATCCATTAAGCTTGTACATTTGCCATCTTTAAGAGCAGCTGCCCACACATTCTTTTTTCCTCCCTTTGTGTTATTGCCACGTAAAAGAACAGTTTATTAGGCTTTTCTCATCACAGCAAGGAGGCAGCTAATATGAGGAAAAGACCCCTTCCTAGGGGTCGTGTCTCTGGGGTGGGGTTTGGAGCCACTGTTTTACAGTGGCTCTGGTCCTTCCTGGAGGAGAGAACTCAGGAGGAGGTGCTGGGGGATTCCTGTTCGACACCCTGGCCATTGGCTTTCAGGGTCCCTCAGGGACTGGTTTTGTTTCCTATGTTATTTAACGTCTACCTGAAAACTGCTGGAAGAGGTTGTCTGGAGTTATGAAATTCAGTATCACCAGTAAGCCGATGTCACCCATATCTCTCCTTGCCATCTAAATTCGAGGAAGCTGTTTCAGTTCTAGATCAGCATCTGATATCTGGAATGAACTGGATGAGGGTGAAGAAACTGAAACTTAATCCATACAAGACAGGGGTGCTCCTGGTCAAAAGAAAGGCAGGTCAAGGAATAGAGATGCAGCCTATGATGAATGGGGTTGCATTCCCTTTGGAATACAGGTGCACAGCTTGGGGTGCACCTGGATTTGTCTCCGAGCCTGGACGTCCAGATTTTGGCAGTGTCCAGGAATGCATTTGCACAATTGGAATTACTGTAGTGTGTGAGTTGGGCCTGTTCCTGGTGTGGTCTGATCTGGCCACGGTGACACATACCTTAGTCACATACCAGGTAGATTATAGTAACACACTCTACATGGGGCTGCCTGTGGGAAGTGTCAGGAAGATTCAGCACATCCAAAACACAGCAGCCAGAGAGCTAACAGAGGCTGGTCACACAGAATCACAACCCTACTGTTAACAGCTGCTCCACTGGCTGCCAGTCTGTTTCCAGGCACAATTCAAAGTGCTGGTTCTAACCTACAGTGCCCTGAATGGCTTATCTCAAGGGCTGCATCTCCCTTTAGGAGCCTGCTCAGGTGTTAAGGATCATCAAGAGAGGCCTTTCTCTCAACCACACCATCTTCACAGGTGTGTATTTGGTGGGGGTCTTTTCTATTGCTCCTCCCACATTATGGAACTCTGTCCCAAAAGAGACCAGGTTGCCTGGCTGCCTGAGTGGGGTTTGAAACAGATTGTTGTGCCTTGAATGTATTTTGATGTTGCTTCTGTTTATTTTTATTATTATTATTTGTATACAGTGGTGCCTCGCATAGCGAGGTTAATCCGTTCTGGGTTAACCTTCGCTATGTGAAAACTTCGTTAAACGGAAAGTAAAAAGCCAAATCGGCTGAAAACTCACCGTTTAGCGAAGTCTTCCCATAGCCGGCAGCCATTTTCGCGCTCTCCCCTCGCTTACCGAGGGCATGAAAACGCTGTGTGCGGCCATTTCGGCTGTTCCAGCGGCCATTTTGGACCCGCCGAACAGCTGATCCGCGGGTCGCAAAGCGAAGGTCGGTAAGCGAAATGCTTACCGACGTTCCCTATGCGAGTTTTGCCCATTGGGGCCATCGGTAAGCGATCACATTAGCGATCGCGGAAACCGCATCGCTATGCGATTTCATTGTTATACGGTGCGCTCGTTAAGCGAGGCACCACTGTACTTACTGTTTTTAGCTTTAAATATTGTCTTTTAATAATATAATCCACCTTGAATCTTTTTGAAGTCGGAAGATGGGGTAAAAATAATTTTGAATGAATGAATGAATGAATGAATGAATGAATGAATGAATGAATGAATGAATGAATGAATGAATGAATGAATGAATGGGATAAGGAGTGTTATTTAATCTGGAGGAGAAACAGCTCTGCTATGGTACTGTAGGCAACTTTCTGCTTCCAGTGTGGAAAGCAGGCTTATCTGCTCTCTACTGTGGATGGCGCACCAAAAATAAAAGATGCTATAAGAACCAATTCAATATTAAAAATGACAGTGGAAGAAGTAAGAGTCAAGCTGAATGACAAGATTGTGTGTTACTTCCTGTTAGTATGTTTTGCCTTCCAGCAACACAGTTTCTTCAGAGATGAATGTCTCAAAAATCAGAACTTGCATTAAGCTTGTGTTTACCTTCTGATGTGCTGTCAGAAACTAAAACATGTTGAAAGACCAGAGCCCGTTTTCTGTTTCTGTTTTTAATTATTTTGTAGAGTCATAAAAGGCCAATACCATGTCAGTAAAGGCCACAAGAGCCCATCTCATCTGTAGTAATCTCTTTAAATTTTCCAGCTAGAACAAGGAACTGTACAAAAGTAACAATTTTAAGCACCGCTTAACCACTGTGAGACATTACAGATCTTTCCTTGTGAGATCTGAAAACTCTGAAGAGTCCAAGCAAGTTGTGGGGATGTGTCTTAAAAAGAATTAACGTATTTTTTCTGTGTATAAGATACCCCCATGTATAAAACGCCCCCAACTTTTCTAGCCGGTTTCTAATCCAAAATTAAGAAATCTAAGTGGGACTTAGCAAGTGCAGGGGGGAATGGAACAAAGCTGCATTCTCCTCCACTTGTTTTTGTTCTCTCCTCAGCTTACTTCCATGTATAAGATGACCCTCAATTTTTAGTCTAAAGATTTTAGACAAAAGTATAGTTTTATACATGGAAAAATATGGTAGATGAGACTAGTCCAAGACAGACTTCTCCCCAGAGTTCTGGGAACTAGGTGTTAGTGAGATAAGCTGTTCTCTGGCTATCTCCCTGACATACTTAGGAGGAGAGTATTTTATTTTATGCATCTCCTCCTGAAATCTAAAGCAATCCAAATTGTATATGGGACTGCCATTTCAGTAAAGACTATGCCTTAGTGTTGCTCACACACTGAGATTTTAATTTTCTATTATTCCTTCTCTTCCTCTTTCTCTCCTGTTGACTATTCGCTGTTCCCAGCAGGAAGAGTACCAAGATTATGAACCTGAAGCATGAACACCCTCTTTCACTCCTGTCTCCTGTGACCTGTTGACAAAGACATCCTGTCCTGTACAAGTGCTGAGTTCCAATGTGCCCAGTTGTAAACTATTTTTTATAGTTTTCACAGTGTCTTTTGAAGTCTTCCATCAGCAATGATCGGAGCATCTGTAACTGCACCCAGTTTTCGCTTTGGTGGCATCCTTTCTCTGAAACGAAAGCCTGGGTCTCAGAGCCATTGTTGGTGTGTGGATGTTGTGGCTTCAAGGTCTAAAATATTTGAAAACAATGAAAAAAAAAAACCACCTAAGTGTCTACTCCTTATTTCTAAAGCTGTACATGTAGATTGTCAGTAATTTGGTATTGTCAATGAAACAATGACTTTTTTTCAAACATTTCTTATGATTATTCTTTTCTGTTCAAGGATGGTATTATTGTGAAAGTTGTTAATATATTTCTATACATATATACATACATTTAAAGTTATTGAGCATGAACTATGCACCTATAAATATTAACTGTGACATTTTATTTGCTTTGTGAAATGTTTTATTAATTAGTATCTGTAAATAATGGTGTCTGACTGGAATAAAATACAGTAACTACTCATTCATTTTAGTTTTCAATAATTAGGTCTACCCTCTGTTTCTTTTTCATTTTAACAAGTGCTGTCTTAGGGCTGTTTCACACATTAAATGACTGCAATTGTGGTTACTACTGTTAAGTAGATAAACGTTTAGAACATGGGATTGGGTATAGTATCTCGCTTCCAAAGGAACTTGGCTTTTAGTGGGGGGAAATCAGATTATCAACTCTTAGCTCAGTGGTTTAGGAATATGGCTGTGAAGCTAGAGGTTGAGAGTTTGATTCCCCACTGTGCCTCCTGCAAGTAGATCCAGCCTGTGTGGCCTTGGGCAAGCTGCACAGTCCGAGAGCACCCCCAGAAGAAGGGAATGGTAAACCACTTCTGAGTATTCTTTATCTGGAAAACCCTGGAAAAGGTCTCCATAAATCAGAACGAATATGGTGATTATTATATCGCCATGATTCATTCATTAGGCATCGTTCAGTCTCGAAAGACTATGGTAACGTGCTCTGTATGGAGGACTTGGAACAGCGTCTAGTGTGGCCGAGAAGGCCAATTCGAGAGTGACAATCCCCTCCACACTGAAGACAAATGCAGTCTGTCCCCTGTCCAGCTCCCTGATTTGGCTGCTTTCAGGACTGCCTCTTTGCCTCGGCCTGCTGGACAAGGGTCTCTTCAAATTGGGAGAGGCCATGATGCACCGCCTGCTTCCAGGCTGAACGCTCAGATGTCAGGGTTTCCCATCTGTTGAGGTCTATTCCTAAGGCCTTCAGATCCCCCTTGCAGATGTCCTTGTATCGCAGCTGTGGTCTCCCTCTGGGGCGATTTCCCTGCATTAATTCTCCATACAGGAGATCTTTTGGAATCTGACCATCAGCCATTCTCACGACATGCCCAACCCAAAGCCTGCTGAAACCTCAAAAATGAGAGGAGTAACTGAATGAAGGTCCTGCTGGGTGGGGTGGCAGCCTTCACTGCCCTTTCCAGCACCTTGTTCTTTTGCAACTCTGTTCGGGCCTCAGAGCCTGAGCTGATAGTGGGTGGAAGTGTGGTGGGAAGAGGTGGCAGAAATAGAATGCCCCCCATCTTACTTCATCTGTGTATTCACATATTCGCAACAAAGGTGTGCAACTGCACTTGTAAGTGCATTTAAACTGAATGCACTAACAATATTCTGTAATTATCAGCCCTGTTGTATTGGAGCCCCTGATTATTAAAACACCCACCATTAAACATGTTCAGCAGGCATATTTACAATTGCTGCTGCATGTCTTCGTAGTGAGCAGTGAACAAAACTCTGCTCTGTGGTGACAGAGGATACTTTCCAAGCAGCATATGGTGTTGCTCTTTTAAATTATCTCAAGATAGAGAAAGGTGCATATATATTAGGTCTACCCGTAGCATTTAACAATGGCTAACCAATGAAACTTTTATTTCCAAGGGGGTCTACCAGAGAATAACAGTTACTGGATGTTTTGCAGGGGGTTGTTGCTTTTATAACTGTTTATGGGCTTCTTGGGACTATTTGGCCAGTCATAGTGGAAACCAAGACACTGGCCTTGGTGGGTCTTCTCTCTGGAGGGCTCTCCTTAAGTCCCAGAATGATTTCAGTTTGCAGTCTCTATGAAAGTCAAGAGAACCTTAGGCAGAGCCATTATTAGGGTTCAACAACCTGGGCTTTCTCCCACTGTGCCAAATTTAGAGGGTGCACACCTTCCCCCAGACTTCCAGGATTGGCCTAGCAGCCTGGTCTACTGGTATAGCAGGTCTCCAGTGGTACCTCAACTTATGAATGTAATCCTTATTGGAACGGCATTCGTACATAGAAAAGTTTATAAGTCAAGGCAAACTTTTCCATAGGTATGCATTGAAAACCATTTAATGTGTATCTGTTGTTTTTCATTCTTAAGTCGAGGTGCTGTTCATAGGTGGAGGCATTAGTTCCCATAGAAACTAATGCAAAGCCGGTTAATCCGTACTCTACCACTAGGGGGTGAATTTTTTAAAAAATAATTCTTCTTTTGACCTAAGATGAACTTAGGTTTTTTTTTCCTTTTGGTTCATAAGTCAAGGCTCTGTTTGCAAGTTGAAGCAACTTTTTGCGAACGGAACAGTTTGTAACTCGAATCGTTCGCAAGTTGAGGTACCACTGTACCAGGCTTTGTTGGGTCAATGGAAGGCAGGTCTCTCAGATCTTGGTAGACCAGGTCTCAGGTAGCATCCGAACAGAGGACAGTTCTATCTGTATTGTGACAAGACTGGGCCTTCCATGTTGGACGGGATTGGTAAACCAGGCCTCTTGGACAGAAAGACAACCTGTTAATACAGTGGACCCTCGACTTACAGACGGCTCGACTTACAGACGGCTCGACTTACAGACTTCTCTGGCTGCAAAATTTAGATTCGACTTGCAGCCAGAGAATCGACTTACAGACCAGAAAAAAACCAAAATGGAATAAAAATAGAATAAAAACCACTGGTTATGGGATTAATCGGTTTTCAGTGCATTGTAGGTCAATGGAGATTCGACTTACAGACTTTTCGACTTGCAGCCACCATTCCAATACGGATTAATTCCTTAAGTAGAGAGTCCACTGTACATCATTGGTGTGCCGGTAGATATCTGTTACTCTATATCTCTATCGATTGATCTATATATCTACCTACTGCTGTCTTTATATGTAGTCTAGTTGCCTCTGATTTATAGTGAGCCTATGAGAATGTGTTCAGGGATAGGTCGATAGACAGAGAGAGAGATAGATAGACAGACAGACAGACAGACATCATAGCACATTTGCTTAGCTGAACTAGCTTGGGCCAAAAGGTGGCTGGGTGACAACCCCCAAATAAAGGTAAAGGTAAAGGTTCCCCTTTATATTTTCAGTCCAGTCATGTCCGACTTTAGGGGGCGGTGCTCATCCCATTTTCAAGCCGTAGAGCCAGCACTTGTCCGAAGACATTTTCCATTGCCATGTGGCCAGCGTGACTAGGGAATGCCATTTTACCTTCCCACCAAGGTGGTACCTATTTATCTACTCGCATTTGCATGCTTTCGAACTGCTAGGTTGGCGAGGAGCTGGGACAAGCGACAGGATCTCACTCCGTTGCATGGATTCGATCTTATGACTGCTGGTCTTCTGATCCTGCAGCACAGGCTTCTGCGGTTTAGCCCACAGTGCCACCAAATACTGTCTGCTGTAAGGTATCAATGATATATATACATACTGTGACACCCTTGCTTTGTTTCTGTAGCTCTGACAGTGCTGCTGGTCCCTGTGATGGAGGGGAGATCCTGACAAGGTGTTTACTACTGTAATTCTTATATTATTTTCACATCATGAATTACAAAGTCAGTTCAGCATTTTGCACTGCTTTCTCCAGTACTAAAATTATGAGTTATGGTTGTAATCCCAGATATTCTTGGTGCAGAAATTGAGTTGCTGGGGTACAGCATATTTTTTCCTTTTCCCAATAGTAAAGTCAAAGCTTATAATAATTCCGTTTTGGAGTATAACTCCTAGAATTCCCTAACAAGCATGATTAGCACCATGCTGCCTGCAGGACTGCATGGACTTCAGCTTATAGAAGCTGAAGTCCATGGGCTGAATCAAGTTGATCATCTTGGCTACGATAGATTTATTGAATCAATGGGACTTAACAGGAGTATCAACTCATCATTCAGCAGTGGATTCAGTGGGTCCAATCTAGTTCAAAATTAGACTTAGATCTAGAAAAGTAACTTTTTCAAGTTCCAGATACACATTTTGCAATTCTTCTAGAGACATCAGATTTTCCAGGTTGGCTATAGCATATCTTCCTTTAGGCAAAGATATATTTTATGGATCTCAAAGAAGATTTCAATATTAATTATTTAGGGTTTGCTGAGCAGTCTTCATGGTACATTTCTTAGCCTGTGCTCTCAGAAAATATGAAGTATACAAATTTGTCGAAGAAATGTGAGACCATTCAGTTTATTTTCTTCGAGTTAATTGTTGTTGTTTTTTCTAGTTAAATGTTGGCCAAACTATTTGCAATCACTTCTAGAAGCAGCTTTGGGTTCACATGCCTTGTTAAACACACAGGCGCACACTTGCCCTCAGATAGCCCCAAAGGTTGCTGCCCATAGGTTCTTGTGGTTACCGTGGCAACCTCGTATACGTGCGTACAAGCGTACGTGTGTGCATGATGCGGAGCCGGAGCGATATGCTGCATTTTAATGACACTCCCCTAACACTGCCAACAGCTTGTTCTCTGAGTAACTGGAACACTCTTGTTTTGCTTTATTTCCCGTGGTCCACTGTAAGAAGCCAATGTAAGGGCTGCATATATCAGAGCAGAATGTTACCCTAGCAAAACTGAGTCACCACCGAGATGAAATGAAACAAAACCCTCAGGGCTCATCCACTCCACATGTTTAAAACAATAGCCCCAGTGCACACCATCCAGCGTCATTGGGAGAATAATGTATGAGTCTGTAATGGGAGGTAAGAAACAAAAATTATCATATCTCTCTCTCTCTCTCTCTCTCTCTCTCTCTCTCTCTCTCTCTCTGCTTGGATGGAGAAAAACACTTATCAAATTGGTAATTTACTAATGATTATGGCAACCGGTTGGTAACTGGTTGCCTGCATCTGTTAGCACACTTCTGATTGTAACCAATTTATTGTGAAATTTTAATTAATAGCTTGGCAGAAAAAAAATACAGCCAAGCTAAACCTGATAGCTACAGCAACCAGATATAGCACCTACAACTTTCAGACCTGCATTCTGTTTTGAGTCACTTGAGGCTAAACACAGAAGCATTCTCTGAACTATGAGCTCCTCCCAGGCTATGAAGTGATTTTACCCACTGTCTCACTTTCACCTCATAGGAGGGCCATCTACCAAGGTAGGTAGGTAGGTAGGTAGGTAGGTAGGTAGGTAGGTAGGTAGGTAGGTAGGTAGGTAGGTAGGTAGGTAGGTAGGTAGGTAGGTAGGTAGGTAGGTAGGTAGGTAGGTAGGTAGGTAGGTAGGTAGGTAGGTA